CATATCTTAATCTAGATATAAGTAAAAAACTTGGGCACTGTGGCAGAGTATAACTCCATTACCTTAATCTCATAAACTGTAACCGCTTTTTTTGAGTTGCTATGTGAACCTACAAGCTAACACTGTTCTGTTAGTCAATTTTTTCTGTTTTCTGTCTTATCCCTCCCCCTCTTTTCAAATTTAAAAGCTTACAAATTGATGATGAAAACTTAAACTAAAAATTGTAATGCTTTCATTTTGGATGCGTCAATTTTATGGTATCTCTTCTCTACTACCATTCAAACATTTTTTTGTCCTTCACGTTCCCAGTGGAACATAGGGCATCAAGCCAGTGGCTTGAAGTTTCTGTAGAAGTGTTTAATTTTACAGGATGGGGTTGCTAGCCTCATGCCCAACCTTTCCTCTTTACCAGCATTATTTCTGGGGTAGCGAGGTAAAGGAGTGCATCGGCCGGGGATCGAACCCCGGACCATGTCCATGGTCGGCGAGTGTCCTATTCGCTGTGCCACCGACACCCACTCAAACACTAAAGCATGTTATTAACATCCATATAACCATTGTAATTTCAGGTAGAATGCAGCTGATGAGAACCTGTGAAATAGAATGATGTCATTTTACAGTGCAAATTTCGTCTTCCTTTCTTTATAGAAATTTATCAAAGGAACCAAATGTATGAAACTAATTATTTTTGTTACTATTTTTTTCCTGTATCATCGCTAGGTGGTATTATAAGAGTACGTCATTGTAATATATCATCACTTTATGGCGTTCACTTGTTTAATGAGATTTCTAGTATATACGGCAACAAAACTCATGATTATTATGCCTGCTTACAAAGTGAAAAAGAACACAGAACACAGAATATGAAATAGTAGTACCTTAATGTACGTCAGCATACATACCGAGAACATGATATTTTTTTTGATTTACAGCTTGATTCCACACTGTATTTTCGGTACAAGTATGGAATTTTCAGCATGGATATCCGTAGCCCAAATTTTGCAGGCCGACCATAGATATCAGGTGTGCGTCGTTAGGCGATGGAACCCCGAACCATGTGCATGGTCGACGAGAGTCCTAACCACTGTGCCACCGACGGAACGTAACGAACCACATTCCTAAAAATGCCACGCATCATGTGAGTAAGAATACCCCTTCCCGAACTAGGAGTAGCATGCCTAGCAACGCACATTACTTGGGAATGCAATGTAGAATGGATCCTCAGGATATATGGAGCGCTAAACGGGACTCACATAGGCACCATATTTTTTTTATTTTTTTTAAATTTTATATGAAGAAGAATTATAAAAAATATCTAAAATAAGTAGTAAAACTTAAAATGAGATTAGTTATTTGAAAAGTACACAATTCGAGGCGAAATTTCAAGGCTTGTAACTTGGATGCCGTATGCGTACACAGAACCATTTAAAAAGAACATATATATATATATATATATATATGCATGTGGCTGTTAACATAATCTGTTGAATGACACTAATGTAAATGGTTGTAGAGGGAAACGACTTTAATTTTTTATTTTCTATATAAATAGTTTCACTACGAAACTGCTAACTGAAAATTTTCTTATAAAAAAACCACCACCCACGTTTATAGTGGGATGTACTTCCGTTGAAATTCTAAGAGTTGTACATCAGCTAAGTACAACCCCTAAACATCATTGGTCTTTGACTTATTGTACACAGTTAGATTTCAAGAATCCTTTAATCATTACATAACATAGTGTGAACAATTAGACCGTAAACAAACTAAATTCTTAGTTTATTAAATAAATATAAATCCTTTTCCATGCCAAAAATATTTGCTTGCAGTGACATTTACAGAGCGAAGACTAAATAAGACAGCTGAAGCGGGAATACACCTGATTCAGAAGCGTCAGCTTATTACAGTGGAGTCAGTCGAAACAAGATCGTCAAGAAATCATTTTGAAACAAATCATAGATGTTATGAAGGTTGGATTCCACTCTAAAAACAGCAGCTAAGATATCTACATAATTCATTAGATAATATCAACTACCCGCAGATTATGATACGTGATAGTAATTATTTACTTTCCACTTAAACCTCTGATTATCCATATATAAATTAATGAAAAGAAAAGGTGTTCAGCAAAGAGTCACTCTTTTCGGCGATATCATTCTCAAGCTGTACAAATCGCAAATTTATAGTAATTTGTCTTGACAGCAAAAGGAATATTTCCAAAGATATGTTAATGCATTGTTAACTTTTGACAAACAAATTACGTAATTTAGAAGGCGTTACTCGGTTAGAAACTAAAATAAAGTCACAAAAGTAGGTTGGGTGACGTAATCTAGTTGATAGGGTTCAATGAAAAAGTGAATGAGAGTCAAGTTAATAAGCTGAGTAGAATTCACTTAAAAATAAACGAAAATCGAGTTAGCAACAGTCGTCATGAGCGTAGAGATTTAATAGAGGGTGGGGGTAGAAAATAATGCAATTAAGAAATAGACAAACAAAGAAGAAAGAGGTAAGACAAAATTACGTATTTGGTGTTAAGATAGATCAGGACCATTGTAGATTTAATGACTGAACAAACTTCTTTTGTATGCAGAGTTCAGGATTCAATATGTGAATTGCCATTGCTTCTGCAGTTTGAAAAAGTTTAATTCGTACTCTTTTGGCAAGATTCCCACGTATTGTGTAGATAACTGAGAAGTTGTTTTGTGGGTTTGCTTGGTGTCCGGATTCGATCAAGTGTTCTAGGATAGAGAAGATCCCCCGCCACAGCTCTATCCTAGAACACTTGATCGAATCCGGACACCAAGCAAACCCACAAAACAACTTCTCAGTTATCTACACAATACGTGGGAATCTTGCCAAAAGAGTACGAATTAAACTTTTTCAAACTGCAGAAGCAATGGCAATTCACATATTGAATCCTGAACTCTGCATACAAAAGAAGTTTGTTCAGTCATTAAATCTACAATGGTCCTGATCTATCTTAACACCAAATACGTAATTTTGTCTTACCTCTTTCTTCTTTGTTTGTCTATTTCTTAATTGCATTATTTTCTACCCCCACCCTCTATTAAATCTCTACGCTCATGACGACTGTTGCTAACTCGATTTTCGTTTATTTTTAAGTGAATTCTACTCAGCTTATTAACTTGACTCTCATTCACTTTTTCATTGAACCCTATCAACTAGATTACGTCACCCAACCTACTTTTGTGACTTTATTTTAGTTTCTAACCGAGTAACGCCTTCTAAATTACGTAATTTGTTTGTCAAAAGTTAACAATGCATTAACATATCTTTGGAAATATTCCTTTTGCTGTCAAGACAAATTACTATAAATTTGCGATTTGTACAACTTGAGAATGATATCGCCGAAAAGAGTGACTCTTTGCTGAACACCTTTTCTTTTCTATAAATTAATGAATAAAAGTTTTAGAAGGAGGAGTGTGGTGAGAGCAGGCTGCTAGCCAATTGGTAGGCATTAATTTAGGTATGATAGAGAAGATTTGTAGCTCAGGTGGATGATTTTGATGTGGATACTTCAATTTGAAGTATGCGCTGAAGATGTCACCCAGTAAGGTGATGAAAGCTTCGCAAACTAACCATCCAGCTCAGAGAACAAAACCACATCAAAATTAATTTAGGTCAATGTCTATGTCGCTAATATTGGTCGTGAGAAAATATGAACTAGACTGATTCAACAACCAATCACAGCAGACTTGGCTTATAGATTATCTGACATTCAAGAAACAGTCACATAGAGATGTAAAGTCAACTTTCTGTAACAAACAACCAATCAGAAGACTGTGTTTGTCTTCTTGAATAAGCTATAATAATGTACATGAAATATATATAAACACGTGTTGATTTCATTAATAAACGATCTGTTGCCTGATTATTGGCTTCTATTGTTACATTACGATACAAACTTCACATATATCTTCATTGGGGAAAGTTTGTGTCTGTTTAGGTTAAGATAAGAGATATTTAAACTGATTAGATAGGTTAATTTAATGATGTTAGTAGGTTAAGGGCAGTTACTGATACTTGCTGATACGGTGTCCAGAACATTTTGCACATTAAGAAAACTCCTGTTTGTGCTGATGTCACGGAGAAGTTTGAATGATGGTATGCTTTGGATTTCTTTTGATGCCTACAGAAAACAGGAATTATGATAAAATGACTGATTTGTTGCCCTTATTGATAACACTATAAGTAAGTGAATACTATAAATCTGTGAAATTTTGTCACCGTTAAGTGACTCTTAAGTGACCACGATGCCATTTGCCCTCCATAAATGTGTTGTTAATACTCAATAGATTGTTGTGGGCTATTAACAACTACAAAGTACTGACTAGTTTAAGAAATGACTGATTGTCATAAAATTTATGCAATCTGTATTTCAGGAATGTTCACCATTATTTTTAGGTCAACGGTTAAGTTTCATTGAAGTATGATTACTTTTCAAATTAAAGGTTTGTATTCATTATTTTACATTTTAATCGTTTTTAATTTAAATTTGGGAGAACGATGTTTCATTAGTTTATGGAATAAATGATATTCTTGTGACTAGTACTGATGAATTGTTGAATGAAGCAAAGGCTACAACTACAAAGACACATTATGTGTAATTTGCATGTACTTCCAAATGAGACTGCAGCAACTATCAAAACCTCTACAAAATTATTTAATTCATATTAGGTAACCTCAAGAAATGATTTTTTTTTCCACTGAAGTGTTCAAGTTCGGGCGTCGGTGGCACAGCGGTTAGGACTCCCGCCGACCATGCACATAGTCCGGGGTTAGATCCCCTGCCAATGCACACCTGATATCTATGGTCAGCCTGCAAAATTTGGGTTACCGATATCATATGCTAAAAATTTCATACTTATATAAGAAATACGGTGTGGAATCAAGCCATAATAAAAAAAAAGTTGTCTTTGAAATTAATTGCTTTCTTAAACACTTAATTAATTTGGTGGATTTTCCAATAATCTACTTACCAATCTGTTCCAATAAACCGTTGGAATGAGTTGCAGACATTTCAGCAATCGACTGATAGAAATGCATATTTGTTATTAAACCAAATAAGTGTCTTGCTGATAATGTTCTATTCATTTTAAAGTCACGTCTTCGACTTTTAGAACGTAAACAAATAGTCACTTCACGATGCTGCGATGAAAGGAAGGAAAATAAAAATACAATAGTAATTATATAGCCGGTAATATGTTTTTAAATGTTGAAGGGTTATTTTCAGCCAACATATAAATTAAATATTAGTAGGACGAGGCTGATTTACTTTTATGATAGGTAAGAACTCTTATATGAGAAAATGATGAAATTAATTCAAAAGTATTAACATTTTTTCCGAATTATGCAGTCTAGTTTACCAAAACCTATTGCTCGATTGGCATAATATAATTAGTATATTCAAGGTATTCAGGTGCAGATAAACACTTCACTAAATTAAGATTGTAAGGTAACAGCTTTAAAATCTGTTAAAAAGCATATGTAGGTGTTGCTCACTTACTGAAAATGAGACAAACATCTTGCATCTATTGTGTACATATGCATCAGAATATAGCCGAAGTCTTACTCGTTAAATAATCAGTTTTCATCCTAAATTATATTTATCTTTAAATATCCATAAGGATTCATTCGATGTTGCGTAGATTGTTAGAGTGAAATGTGGTGGTAATTACTTGTTGGAAATACCTTAACTGACATCTAGTCTTCGCTGACTGTATATTTTACTTGAAATACCACTTTTTATATCAAACTTTTCAGACACAGCCATGTCAAGTAAACTTTATAACTGGATATTTATTACATTTAATTAAACTAGTTTTCATTTCTTGTGTCTAAGACCCAACAAAAGCTTAATGATAGTAAATCTACAAAAAAAGTCAAGCTAAAATGAGGTGAGAGAATAACATTTTTAGATCAATATTCCTCTTTCAGCTTTGTAACACAAACAGGATTATCAAAGCTTGACAGTTACTATAGTCTTCGAACACAGAGGGATACTTGATCCTATCAATATGGCAATCCATTTCCAATATATGTCAGTGGAAATAGGTCCGCAACAAGTACATTACTTTTATTCATTTTTTGTTAATTGTTGCCTCTATCGTTTACACTTTTATTGTGTAAACATTCAAAGATATATTTATATATATACATGATGTACGAAAAGACATCTTTTCTATCGCAATTTCTGCATTGTTTTTAACGTGCCTAAGTTGAAGTATTACTGCAAATCTTATCTACATTAGTAGTCTTTCAGAAGATAAAAGTGAATGTGAACAAAGTTCTTGAAGTTTACCCCCTCTGGAATTTTATGCTGATAGCCAACAAAACAACGGTACGAATAAAAAGGCTGACTGACTGTATTGTCAACAGCATAGAGGGAAAGACACCTGAATTCCTTTTCTAAATTGAATCAAAATAGAGAACTATATCCGCTCATGTGACCGCATTATAATTTCAGACTGCTTTAGTGTGGCGAAATCACTACATTACCAGTAGACTTCATTTGTAGAATATTGCGTTAATAATCTTATTAGGCTTCAACTATTGAAAATTAACTTCATCAGCTAAATTATATTGGAATAAAGCTAAGAAAGGACAAATAAGGTAATAGTACAAATACGCTGCTCATTTGTTAATCTGAGGATTGTAAGCATATGCGAACTTCCCTACTAGGATGTTTAAGAAGGCTGAAATGAATATTTGTAGATTTTATAGCTCAAAAAATTTGCAGTAAGCTAGTAAGTAGATAAATAAACTGATTTAAACATTTACAGTGTGCCGGTGGTTCGAAGGTAGAATAGTCGCTAATCACGCACGTGGTTCAAGTTCGATCCCCTAACTCTGACTGGCTGTTGGTGAATTCAATAAAGCAAAAAGGCTGGGCATCATGCTACCGAACCCCTGTCGTAAATAAAATACCACTGCTACTCCAACTTCAAAGTTTAAACCTGAATTAAAAGAAGACACACTGACAGCATTATTATAGGTATTTTACATTTGTAGTTCTTAGTTCTTTTTCATGAATGTTTTCTTGTTTTCTTACCACAACCTTGGCATCACGGCTCTCACTGATTTGTGTATTTTAACAGATTTATACCATTTGTGATTGGAAACTAGTCACTGACTAGTGTCCAATCAAAAATATCCATTGCAGTTCTAAAGGAGGTCAATCGCAAGCCCGGATAGTACAGTGGTAACTTCTCTGACTGCAGCATTGGGCAACAAGGGTTTGAGTCCCAGAAGGGAAATGCGTTCCTTCAAGGCTGCATATACGCCTTACTGACGAGTGGCAACTAGCACGAAACCTGGGTTCAAGGATTCCTGCTGACTGCCTCCAGCCACTTAAATTGATACTGATTAAAGGAGCAGAAACAAAGAAATTTGTGAACTTAAAGGATACTTTTAGTTATTTACACCAGAGAAGTAGTGCATTCTAAGACTTTACTTGCTTTCTGTATGCCCTTATCAGTGTGAAAACCAACAAACAGTTAAGTTTGCCTTGCAATAAAATAATAATAGGAAGAAGAAAAGCGTTGATAGCGATGATAGCACATTGACTGCAGGTATTGTTTTCGTTTATGCCTATGTTTCTTTAAAGTATAAAAAATGTCCACTTCCTGTAATCTTAGTTATATGTTACATTTAGTTGAACACTATCAAGATAAGTGCATATACAATATATGTATGTGTCACTAACATTGATGCGTGTGAGAAAAGAGCATAAAGATACACAGTCAAATATAACAACATATCCACTGGATTGAATCAATAATTAAATAAAGTATAATTATATTTTAATAGTTTACAAACAATGATAAGTTTTGTCATTGGGAATATTTCGAGCAAAATTACTGCCCGTGTTCACACCACTGTTGGAATTGAATCAATAATATTCACGAAATGGCCATAATATTTTGTACGCGTTCGTGTCGTTCTACATGTTTATGTATCTTGTAGACAGCACATATTATAGGTATATTTGATACATGTTTATATTTTTCTTCCACTTAACCTGTAAGAATAAGCAAGCTGATTAACTCAAGTTGTTTGTGTTTGTGTAACTTAGCAACTGTTGTTTTGTTTTGACATGAGATACAAATTGTAGTGAAAAATATCATGTTGTTTCCAAGTTGTGCTATTTTGAATCACATTTCAACCTGTCTAGGCTGAATTTTGGACACATTCATCACCATTTGATTCAATGACCTGATAAATACATCTTACATTTCTGTATTATTATTTATTCAAAGATAATGTTTATGAATGACCTTTACAACAGATATCTTGGCTGAAAACAAACAGGCTAAGTTACATGCTACGTTTGCGTCAGGACATCTAGTTGTTTTATTTTATATAAAAAAAAAGAATGGATTATTATATAGTTACCCCTTTCAAGAGGAGACACCAAACTCTTACATCATAATACATTCGTTCAATCTCATTCCATTTAATTCGATTTGTAGGGGTAACCCAGTCGTCGGGATATTGCTAGAAAATGAAAATAATAATACTCGCACATAGTGATTAATTTAAGGTAAAAAGAAATAGCATTTACAGATTAGTGATCTTTAAGGCTGCTATTGGTCTTTCAGCGCTACTTGTACATGAATGAATTAAAAGTAGTAGGATGCCATGTCTCGTCCAGATTTCGTGCTTATCAGCACTTATGACTATATTAATTAATTAATTAATATTATTACTACAATTTAATAAGTAAATTAATAATTAATTATCTGGAGGTCCAAATGAAAATGTACCAGGTTATAGAAAATGCGTCAACGACATTTTAATCATTGACAACCCTAGTTCTGCTACACCAACTTTAGCCCGGATGAATAAAGAGAGGGAGAGAGAGGAGAGAAAAACAACTGTCGAACTTTCCTAGGTAGATCCCTCAGTCAACGGCCTGATGAGTCAATACAGCGATACCTATACAAAAAATTACCATGGCAGGACAGTAGGATCAAGCGAAACACTTGAAAGTGAGGAATAAATAATGAAAGAAACTCTGATTGAAAATAATCACCCAGAGCAGTTCATAAGGAGATATAAAGCGGTTAGAGCACCAATGTGTGATCATAACAACTTGATACTTAGACAAAACTGGACGCTGCTGTCAAAAAGACTTTATGCAGTTAAGATCAGGATAACTTAGAATGTGAATTCTGTATATCCATCTAAGTTCTTAGAACATACGACAAATGCTATCAAATCCCACTGTATCTATCAATTCGAACGTATGTCATAAATGCATAGTGAGGATTCATCGACATATGCAAGTAAAGGCTTCAGAATACATCTCTAAATGGCTTCTGAAGCCAAATGAATCCTCTGAAACTATTCAGTGGTGAAAAGAGATGACCTTACTCGTTAAATTTCGTTTGGATACCGGAATAGTTGTGCTTTTGTGATGATGTGATACAGACAGTGTGTTCTAACTGAATATAATTCTCAGATATTCCCACAGTTCAAAACTGCATTAGCAACAGAATACTATGTATGTTTGGACATTCTATTTCATGTCGTTTAATGTAAACCAAAATGATACGCTCAGGTATTGGTTAAAGAATATAAACTACGTATATATAAACAGTGGGTTGATCAATGGAAAATATACCTTTGCTTCCATGTCTTGCTTTCTGCTGTGACATTATTACCTCCCCTCTTTATTGTGACCTTTTGTATGGCCTTTTATTTTGGCCTGTCTATTCTCTCACCCCTTCATATTGTATTACTTTTATATAAATTCCTATGACAAGTAATTGTATAAGCAAATTGTTCTAAATGTCTTGTGCAAATACATAACGCGATTCATATGACTTAATTCTCCCTACTATTTTATCGAAATTCATAAAAAGAATTGATGATTAACAATCAATTATTACTAGTAAGTGATTAAAATTATTCTCACTGCCGTTGACTGTATACTGTGGTCATTTATTTTATGGAGAAAAGAACAGGAAGTTCATCGAAGATATCTTTTCGCAGATTTCATTCTCGAAAGTAGTACAATTGGATTTATATACAAAGATACAATCATTATTTAATTCCATACAATAATGATTGTATTTAATGTAAACTTATGTATATAAATGTGATTGCACTGCTTTTGAGAATGAAATTTCCGAAAAAATATCTTTGATGAACTTCTTGTTCTTTTTTGTCTAATTTCCCGATGGCTATTTTTCATGACTTATTTTATGCCCTATGATTTCACGACATTCAGTGGTTACCTGTTGAAATCGTTAAAGCTTACAGCTGGTTCGAAATTCTTCGTAAATTTTCATTAAAGTTATAATTATTAGGCAAATTAAGTAGCTATTGATAACAACTCCGAAGGTTAGATAATATAATTTACTTTGATATTCTTAGACCAATACATGTTTACTTTCTATTTTTGTCTGAAAGTGTCCTGAACTTTGATACGGCAATAAAGCACAGGAATGTGGAAGAATTAGAATTTGGACGCAAACTTCCTAGTGAATTCGAACTTTTCCATAGTACAGCCAATATTTTCAGTTTGATCTAAAAGTTGTATTTCCATCTGTCAGGATCATAGTACCTTTTGGGCATTATACATCAGAACGTTTAGTAGACTTTTAGTAATATTTAACAGATTATTTATGCCAAGATGGTTGAGGTTTCTTTTTAAATTCAAGACCTAATATTTAGTTGATAAAGTAACAGAACCACTGCTCTGTTATAAAACTGAAACATAGTATTACTTTTCTAAAGTTTCACATAATAGCATGTCTTCTTTTGTAACGGGCAATTGGTCAGTGATTGGTGGGTAGCCCATCACGACATTAAAAAAGGTGACAGATATTTCATTCTGCTTTAAAGAAAATTTAAAGGTATAATGTTGGATAATGATCTTAGCAAATTCTAATAAACTGTTTAAAAAAAGACTTAACAAAAACATATTGTATTCCACTGGAAGAATAAACCATCTCTATCAAGTTCAATAATATGTAGTGATTTTAACCTGTTCACGTGTTAAACTCATAATACTTAGTATTATTGTTTTATACATGACTATCATTGAATAAAGGTCATTTAACCATCACTGGTTGATTATTTTGTCTTTTCTTATAAAAAAGAATGCATATAACCATGTTACCTAAGAGAAAGAGAAATACAGAAAGAATGAAAGAAAAAAGGAAACTTTTGTTAGAAATATTTTGAAGGAATTATCAATTAAAGCATACAACCTAAAAACTGGCACCAGATTATGTATTCGCTTACAGTGAACTTTTAGTGACTAAATATTAAGAAATTTTTAGGGAAATATTATCGACTTTATAATTATCCAGTTTTGATGGATTCAGGTCGGTTCTTTTTAGTTTTCTCCCTTTCAATTCTAAAAATTTTTAAACTCTTTTGCTAGGAAATGCTTACATACCATGTGGATGCTAAATAAAAAAGATATACGAGAAGGACTTGGAAGATAGACAATACATTAGTTGAAATTACTCAATGTAGATTTGTTGAAGGAAACAATCCATAAGGAAATCACAGAAGTTACACGGAAATTGGATTAAGTATACAGCTAAAGATGGAGAAAACAAACATAAGAAAAAAAATGCAATTTTCACGACTATGCTTTAATTCTGTAAAAATTTATTCAATACATGATTTCAAATATGGTTTAGAAAATTTCTAATTAACATATGTATAACCTTATTCAGATGTAAGATATCGCCACTCAGTAACATCGGCTGGAGAATCACCGAAAACCAAATCATGGTGGACAGATGTTCGGTTCTAGCTTTGATACTCTCCAGGAGTAGTAAGATACATAAGCCATTATACTTTAATTCAGTGGATGAGCGTTAATGTTGCTTATTGACAAAATATATGCTATTTCAGATGACTTGTGAACGCACTTTTAAAGAAAATCCTGAGTTAATCAGTTTAAAACTAGAATCCTAAAGACAATTAGTGTTAAGAATGCTCCTAGATAATTCGAGTACGAAGTCAAACTAAATAATCAAAGAATTATTTAACAAAATTTTACCATGACTTAATATGGCTGAGATACTTGTCACTCATACCAAGTCATCGACCTTCTCGTCGGACAATATTAACTGGCATGAAATGAAGTCCGAGAAGAGTTAAGGAGGAGAAATCAAAACATTGTGTCATTTCATGAAGTAGTTGATTGTTAGCTCAAGCCGGCCAGGTAGGGATGTGAAGATTGCCTGGGTAGATTTCTCAAAAGGCTAAGACCCAATGTCTAGGGACAGTTACTGATGTAGCCCAAAATTTCTATCTGTGGCGCGAATGAACTGACTGTTTGTGATTTTGTAAATCCACTAAACCTTCATGTTTCCTCATTTACTTGTTCTTTCTTATTGTAGTTCCTTTGAGATTTTTCTCTACTATGTGTGCTAAATGCAGTGTGACGACTTAAAGTGTTGCACTTCTGGGCAAAATTCTACTTTGAAAACTCAGTTAATCAGTTGCAGAAATATGAGATAATGAGTCGGACTGAACAAATGAACTTTCTTGATTGACTAGCAGAAAACGGTACTGAAAAACAAACTGAAGCTATACGTATTACAAATTCCTTCTTAAGTTAAAAGTGATATTTCAGGTTTTTACTGATAATCGTCATATGCTTGAGAGTGTTAATATTTGGTGTAATAAACGGTAGCAAAAATATCGTTCACTTGTTAAAAAACATTCAAGATAGGTAGTGAATCATTATTCCAATACAAACACATTCACATAGTGACCTAAAATGTAGTCATTTTACAAAATGATGGCTGTTAAACTGGTGGTTAAAGTGAGAACTGATAGGTGAACTTAATATGCTTTTAATAGTAGACCGCTGTGTTTTGTCGGTAAACGGCACATTCAATTCTTATCTTAATGATTTATATGATGTATTATACATAAAGAACCAAATGGATAGGAAATCTCTAAATAGATAACACTTGCAATAACAGTCTGCAGAAAATTATTTTTCAGAATTTTTTTGAGTATGGGAGGAATAATTCCAAATGCTGTAATTCTTGTATTAGTCTGAAGATACTGTTTTACTCTGTGAATAATCAGTTGTAAATTACTTGACTTCTCAATGACCTTGATCACATTACAGACAAGTTAAGAGAATGAAGATTACTAAGGTTATTAAAGTTAAGGCATAAGTGACAAATTTATAAGGTGGAGAACTATCTGACAGAATACTTCACAAGGCAAAGTAAGAAAGACATATTTCAACTAAAGTGAAAATGATAATAATAATATGAATTACAAAAAGTCAAAATGAAAGTGTATTTCAAGCAATAGCTTTATAATCACATTACTATTATCTACCTGATATAAGGTGAAGCCATTTGGACTGATACCAATCAATACAGAGAAACGACATTTCTCAGCATGTTTCTTGAGTGGATATAAGTGTAAATTGAAATCCGAATTTAGTTTAGTTGCTAGACGAATAAAGTGAAATTCAGCCAAATAGGCTACAGTATTGCGAAGCGCTGAATGGCGTATGTAGGTAAGGTAAACCAGATCAGATTTGTCCCATGATTCAGTAAACTAAAATTTTAATGGATAGATATATATTCAGTGAAAAAGAACTGCTGGTCAGCGAATATAGCGTTTCGGATGTTTCTAATAATGTTTTTAAACAAAAATAGTTAAAGCGAACAATTGTTTTGAATAAATTCTCCATGTATGCTTAAATTAATGGATTCATAATTGTAGACCCTGAGTGAGAATTTATTGAAAACAATTGTTCGCTCTAACTATTTTGTTCTGAATAAATTAAGGGAATAATGTTTTACTTATTTGGTTTAAACAAGCAATAATTTTTGTCACCTAAAATATTATGTTGATCATTATGCTAGGCAAATTTCAAATATTCACCTAAAGCATAAAATGAAAGCCACTACCAGTTTGTTAAAGATTAAATATACAACTAGACTATACTTAATCGACTGCCAAGTAATCAAATCGTTTGTCGTAGATTCAGACAAGATCTAACGTAAGCTAACCTGCTATAATCAGTAAGCTAGTTAACTGTTTAAATCAGTTGAGTTCATTATCCATTCAGATCATCTGTATTTGCTGCGTGCTTATTGAAATCGTGTAAATCCATAACAAATTCACATAAATCCAAAGACAACTCTCGGTCTGAGGGAAGATTAGATGAACACCATATAGCTGATGAAGGGATAGATTCATTTGTTTATGAATGGACATCCACGAAACTATAAATATAGAGCATAGGTGAAGAATCAGATTCTAAGTTATCTAAACAGCCTTTAGCGCACCAGAAATAATTCACTCAGTTTGGTTGTGCTGATTCTGCATATTAGTTAGGTGATGTTAATCAAGTAATCAAGCTTAAGTCTTGTACATGGATCTCCGATACAATAGACATTTCTACCCCACTATGTTAGACCTGCTTTCTGAATTAAAATACGGTTCAAATGATGAAGTTTCCGTTCGTAGTAGAAATTGTGATCTCAACAGACTACAAGGGTTCAAGAAAGTGAATTAAGTATCTGGGTTGAAAATCGCTAACTGAAAGCTCTGAGTTGTTAATCCATAACTAATACAAAATTCAATAGATTTACCTTTTCCTGTAATTCTTCGCTTAGGTTTTTTCATTCATTACTTCGATAAATCTTTTCATCTGTGGTTCTGTGTATTATTATCCAACAGCCTTCATTGTTTTACATCCACGAGACTCTTAATTTTAATTTATGCCTTAAGTTCATTTTTTAGAAATCTGTGTTTTTGGCTGCTGATTTTCGATAACCACTTTCGCATAAAGTTATTTCATTCCTCAAAAGGATATCATAGTATTATAGAGACTTGAGTTGTTATGAATTCATCATTTTAGTTGTATATTGGGGAATATTGTTTTTGTGGCATTGGCAGGCTGTTTGCAAATTAATCAGGAAACTTGCAAACTAGCCATGACTGAGAATGAGTGAAATGGAAGAAAACGGAATGGGACAAATATTTCACTTTAGCATCCTTTAGTGCTCGATGACTGCATAGGGCAGATTTCAGCGGTTATATGGCATTAGATTTTCGTCAGAATGTAGATTCCATACCATGATCATCCTCTTTACCTTGATCAATCTACATCTTCTGTTTGATATTTGAGTTTCTAATGTCAAATTTTTTGTGTGGTATAAATCTTGGCTTTAGTATTTCGCCAACTGATGTCTTTTTAAGCTAAGAAACAAATTCTTAACCATTTTATTGCGATTCAAAGTATACTAGCCACTTATCCAGGTTGCGGTAGAATCTGTATACTTGGAAAACTAACCATATGTTTAAATGCTGAATAACAGGACAGATTAATAGCAGTTCATATTAGCACAGGAACAGATAACCCAATGATCCGATGATTTAGAGTTGCAACACGTCGTATTAAGGACAAACTATTAGTTCAGTTTAAACTCGAGCATAGTCCAGTCAGTCAGTTTGCATATTTGTTAAACGAAAAAATTTGTATATTCAAGAAAACAATGAAGAAATATATCAACTTACTTTACTAGGATAATAAAGCTCTTGTAGGAAGTAGGGTGCAGCAGTTTCGATATTGTATTTTTTTGGTGCATTACCTACTTCAGCTTGTAATGCAAATGCTGCCAACTGTAAGTAAACATTTGGATCACAAAATAAATTATAGGCAATATGATTTTTCCGTAATTGTTTGTAATAAAGGTGTTGTGTTGTACGTTCATTTAAACAGTAAATTGGAACATAAAAACGTATGCGAAAATACACAGTTGGATGTGATGATGTTATTGGTGAAGGAGGTTGGTGATGAAAATTTGATTTGTTTGTTGGTAAGAAGAAAACACCCTGTTAATAAAAGTTGAAGATGCATAACAAGATAAAATGCTTCATTGTCTTAAAGATTTAAAATAAAAGATTAAAATCTTATCAAAAACTAACGCTACCTGGAGAACTAATGAAAACTAACACCTATTTCGTTCAACTTTAAGACTAATCAGAGGTGACCATATACGAATCAAACACAAGATCACCAAGGGTTGGGACAAATAAATTATCACTTAGACCGTAGTTTGGAATCCAGTGTCCCGTTGGCCTTTTTTTCTTCCCCAGTTGATGTTAATTAATAAAATGTACCTCCAATTTAATTATGTTACCAGTAAATTATGCAATATGATACACATCACGTTTACAATAAAATTTGTTTTAATTTACTTAAACCTAGGATTTTGGAACTAGCGTAGCCGTAAATACATGCTGGTCAATATTTTGCTAATTATGTAACAACGCTTAAACTGTAGGATTTATTTCGCTGAATGCTACTCCGAAATAATGAAGAAGATTTGTAGCTCAGGTGGATAATGTTGAATTAGTTGTTCTCTCAGCTAGTTGATTTAATTGCGAAGCTTTTGTCCTCTTTCTAGACAACAGCTCCAGCGCGGGTTTTAGTATAAATGCTACTCTGTTTACTACATTGGCTTTATTTAGGTTATAGACATGCAATACAATTGTTGCTTTTTAAATAAAAGCTTTCCATTGGTAATTCCTTCTACGGTAGTTGACAGTGATATATATATATATATATATATATATATATATATATATATATATATATATATATATTCGTTTCCAATCCATTACTATCATTTCAAGTCAAAATTTACAGAAAATTATCTTACTTCGAAATCTTACTGAACTATCTACCATATTCACACTTAAGTAATAACGATCATAGTGTTTTACAGTAGTGATTATCGAGCTTATTAAAACTGAAGCACGTCTATTTTATTACAGTTAAAATAACTAGGATGATGATGATGATAATGTCTTTAAACTAATACAGAAATGATATAATACTATTTTTTACATGAAAAGGATTGATTTGCATTACACGTGCAGAAGTTTGTATATTTGAGATTGAATTCGGTTAGGTGTATCATTTTCATCAGAATATGTGTCATAATTATTTTGTGCCGCAAATATTTTCATTCTATGATCAGGATGCATTTTTATTCATAGTTTATATATTTCTTAACATATTCGATTGGCTACTAAGTTCTTTGCTTTGTAATTATTTCTTTCAACTGTGTTTGGACAGTCACCTGTCTGTGACTAATACTATATAAAAGCATAAAAAGAGGCCTTATCATACCGCTGACAGTAAGCCAATCGTGAACGAAACTAGACCGACTCCACACAAGTCATTGCTTTAGGAGTTTGCCGGTTTTTGATGTGTTTTTGTGGGTAGTGATCACACACTGGACCGTGCTGGTGAGTGCTCACAAATGAGTGGAGTGACTGTCATCTGAAAGCTTCAGCAGTCTAGGAAACATGGATTAAAATCTTTGATAACATCTTTATTATTTTGGAAAATTTCATAATATTCACTGATATTTATCGACTGAAATATCATTTATGTGTACTCTGTGCTCTTTTGCGAGTGTTGATATGAAATGTTCCACCATGAAGTGATACATTTCTGCTTAGAATGCTATGTTAGTTTATCTGTTTTTATGTCCATTTCTAAAATCATGTCTGAACAACTTTCGTATCCGTAACTTTCCCGTGTGCAAATAATGTAAGGTCCTAAACAAGTGAACGTGTTATACCGGTAACTTGAGTATCTTTATTTGACTGAAAAACAAGTGACCTCTTGAAAGTCCACTGGTTTTTTTGAAAGTTGAGCACATCATCTCGATTTCTTCCTGGAAGTTAATTTAGAGAGAAAGGTTTCTTCCAGTAAGATGAATGCATTTTTTACTTATAACAAAATATATTGGCACTCATTGACAAACTCTAACGTTTCAGATAGGTTACGCAAGCAAACCATTTTTTTAATTTGACCAAACCACATCATATATATGTTCTATTCAGCAACTAAATTCCGTAAACAGAATTTTATGTAATATACAGTTTCTATATCCACTGGAATTTATTAAAATGACAAAGAAAAACACATGTAGACTGTGGAATATCGAAGAATTATGTGTTTCTTAAAGTAAATATCAGTGCTCACTGAAAAGTTCCAGATAATCATGAACTAATTATCAGTGCACACCACGAAACAGTAGATGATAGTTATCCCTTTTAATGGAAATCTATATGCTCTTAAAACGACGCAAGAAGTTGCTGTGTAATACTGCGTAATAATAGCAGAAACTGCAGGAAAATTGGCTTAGAGGGCCGGAGTCATTGCACCGAGTTTTTAAATTAGCTTTTGTACGAATTAGCATCAAGACTTCAAGACTAGAACATCTATATGCAGTAGATGAAATATATGAAAGGAAGAGGTTACACAACTAAATATACAGTATTTCCTGAAGATTTCACTGGTCTTTTTGTTAATTTTGTTTGGGGGGTGATATCTTATATTAACCCCACACATGATGACTTGCAGAATATTTCTTGATGAAAGCCAGCGCAGAAACTCATTATAAGGGCTACGTCTCCCAGCCCCCAGACATTGTCTGATTCCACTAAGGTCTCTTCATTGTAAGCAACAACCTGTCAACACTTCTCTGTTCCTTTAGAATGCTGACTAAATCCAAAGTTAAATGGAGAGGGAATTGCGACTTGAAGTCTTTTAACTGGAGTGTATGTTAGGGTAGAATTTTACAACAACAGCTTTTAATAAAGTACTCAAACCGTGAAGTATATTAATGATTAGGATTTGAGGTCGATCTATGGCGGTAGGATGACAAAAATTACAGTACGTGACTATAATCCTCCAAATGGGTTATGACATTATGACATCAAATTGGAAGCAGATAGTAATACAAAGTAATAAAGTGAACTTTATCTTACAAAACAAAATTAGTATTTTGGGATATCCCTCTTGAAAAGGAGATTAATGATTAAATAGCTAGGTATCGATTGTGGTGTACTGACAACCGAAAGTAACACAGCATCATAATGAGGAGACAAGTAACTCCCGAAAATTACTGTACTAAAGCACTAACCACTCAACAATAGGTGTCAGTCCCGACTGTTAAAGTAGCCTGGTTAAGCCGAATGAACTAATACACACTATTATACACGTTGTCGTATGGGATCCCTAGCTATTTAAGCGGTAACCACCTTTCTTCATTTCTGGTCTTGAAATATAAATCGTGTTTTGCGCGGTCAGCCTGTTGTTGTGATTCGTTCCTAGTGACAGTAGAACAAGTACTTTCAGAGCTGAAGGATAAACGCTTCCTTGTGCAAAAAACCAACCTGTTCACAGCTACCGAAATTGAAAATATTTATTTCCTGATAATGAGGTAGAATAATAATAATAATAATTAAAGAATAATAAGTAAAACGTATTACCATGGTAGATTCACAGTCACGACCATCTCCTTTTGTACACAGGGACCCGGTTTATAAATCCGAATTGCACAAGCCTCTCCGATTGCAAGCATTTTCTTGTTTCTTTGTCTGCTGACAACAATGAACGACTTGACCGCGTCGATATCATGTCCGTAATCCACAAGATGTTTTGTTATTGGGGATTTTGGCGCTTTACACTCAGCTGTTTTCAATCATTTTGGCAAATGCTTCATCATGCGAGTAGAAAATTGCCTTTCCGTACGACCTATGCATTTGCTTCCACAAATACACTCAAATTGGTATATGCAGTTTGAAGTGTCGAGGATTGGTGACTGGTCTTCCCCAGATTGTTGAAGCACTCGCTTAGTGGTGTTGAGGAAAACAAGTTTCGCAACATAATAAGTTCTCTTGATGGCTTTGTCGAGTCTTCGTTTGACTACTTCCTGTACATCATCTCCTTTGAACGGCAAACTGATATAGACAGGTTTCTTCGGAACTGTTTAGATTATAACTATTACTATTGATATTACTCTGTTTACAATTCTTATCATATTCCCTAATGACATTGGATATTGGATATCAGTTTAAAGTAAACATAACTGTCATGATTCATGATGTGATAGATTTATCAACTAGTTTAGTAAGGCTTCGACAATTTTTCGAGCAAGATGGATATTAATTCTGTACTTTCACTGGCCTCTCAAATTAGAATAAAGGGCTCTGAAGTTTGCACGAACCAAATCACAAGTATCTTCCAATATCCAATATCGTTTTTACGAGCTTGATGCAAAATAAACCCAGAAAGGTCACAACCCTCTTTTTTAGAGATCTCTTGTGACATACTTCAATAGATAAAAGCTCAATATTTCTCGAGAAAAACAGATTAATCTGAATTCAGATCTCTGCCCCTCAAAACTAGCGATTTCCAAACCTAAACCATCACAAACAATTGAAACACAAGAAAGGAACTCCAATCACAATTTTATCAACACTTTTTCCGTGAAGGTGAACTTACCATTCTAGTGATTCTGGTCATAGGAGTAAGGTAACTGTTGACAACCTTATGGAGAAACTCGCTTGGTTCAATGAACAGCCATCCTTCATCTAAAAGAGCATAGTTGTTCCCTAAATATTTACGAGATACTACCGGTAGGCATAGCAAGTCCAAACATATCGCGCTCCTGTAGCTTAATGAACGTGCAAACATCATGAAAAACATCCTCAACAAGGGTATCCTTCGAAAATCTGTAGGAAAGGTGTTTTTCGTTCAGAAGAATGACATTTAAGATATTTAATTCAGTATACTTTTGACAGCAGTGGACATTAATCATCAGTCACATAATAACTACAGACTGGCATACACGATAACGGAACAGGCAGTTTGAATGCAGCGCTGAATCCACCATCCACTATCCAATATCCTCATTACGAGCTAGTATAAACCAGTGATTTCTTTGAGCTCGCTTCTCGATTGTGAGGTAGAGGTTCCAGATCTTCGGTGAGCTTCTGCGTAGTAAGTCCCGCCACCTGACTGCTCTGGCTCTGGTAGACTCCAAGAGGAGTGGTGCGGGGATTGGTCGAGATGTGGTTTGTAGCATGCAGTATGTTAGGACTGTATTGCTGCCGTGAATGGAGTTTGACCTAACTCCCGTTGGTCATTCGGTGTAGTCATAAAATCAGAATAGTAATGGTAATAATAATAATAATGGGTTGTAGTGTAGATAATATAGGTTGAGATAAGTGGAATAATAAAGGTGACCTAAGGAAAAGATAGAGTGAGAGAAGGCAGAATAGGTCGTGGGGATTTAGGTTGTACGCTTATCCATTGACAGTGTGGTTTTAAGTTTTATGAGGATAAGCCATTGAGACACAAACCTTGCATTTCTGCATGATTGTCTAGCTTCCGCTTAAAAATCTCCAGAGAAGGCGCTGTAGTCACGGCCGCCGGTAAAGTGTTCCAGAGACGGCAAACACGAAACGAAAATGAATGTGATCGCACTCGAGTCTTTGGTCTCTGGTGTGCTATCCTTAGCGGGTTACCTCGTGGAAGCCTATAATCACCTAATGGCAGGATGCTTTTATTTGGGTGGGCCTGGTCATTTAGGATTTGGTAGACGGTGATGAGGTCGCTTTAGTCAGTTGGTGTAAACAAAATTGAATTCTTTCTGCCCCCCTCTTGGTTGTAGGTTGAAGGTTCCTGGTCTCAGGCAAACGTCTGTCCAGTTCCTCTCGCCACTTAATTTTGTAGCTCGAGTTGATTTCGAAGGATGTGATACTGGGATGTATTATGTATGGTTTGTGGTATTCAGTGTGTAAAAGTAGTGTTTCTTCAGTGCATGTGGTTGATCCTTTCACCCGTTAGTTGCCCGGCAAGATCGAAAAGAGAGATACAACCAATAATAATAGATAGATGTGGTGAGTGTTGTTTATGTAGATTCCAGAAGATTCAATCAGATAGCCGATGCCATCTGAAATTAATATAAATTAACAACAATAAGGTAGAATAGGAAGTGATAAAAGACGTGTTTACATGTATACTAATTGACAATGTGTGTGAATTGTGAGGAGTAGACCGTTTGGACACGGTCCTTGTATCGCTGCACGATTGTCCTACTTTTGCTTAAAGCTTTATACTGATGGCTCAGCAGCCATATCTGCTTTTAGAGAGTTCAAGCAGCATCGGACTCAACGTGAAAAGAAATGGGAATGCACTTGAGCCTTTGATCCCTGGTTCACGGTCCTTTATTGGTTCCCATGAGGAAACCCATACGTAAGCAGTGGCAGAATACCTCTGTTTAGATAATCCTGCTCACTTGTGATCGCATAGGCAGTAATTAAATGGCCTCTAAGCCAGCGGTAGCTAAAGGAGAGAATTCCTAATTTCTTTGGCCGTCCATCATATGGTCTATTTGGTAAATTTATCACCCCTCTAGAATTCTACTGTTCCCAGAAGGTTGAAAATTCCTCTGTATAAGGAAAGACCGACTATCAGCCAAGGCTCATAAACCGTTAATGCCCAGCTCTGGATGAACTTGCACTCACACTGTTCCTAGAAGTTTTTCAGAAACGCTTAATACTAACGGACGCGAAAACCAAACCATCAATTGGCCACTCGAGAATTCTTTATTGTTACACCAACATATAAAAATATTTCTATTAAAATCTGTGAGCAAAAATTACAATAATAAATCATAAGATAACTTCTGATGGTTTGCTACAGTCTTCTTTCTGAACAGCGACCGATGAGACGATGACTGACGCATTGATGCCTCCGCGAAAATTGGGGAAGTTGATTTTGAGCAAACAAACATGAATTGATCGTTCAATCTTCAACTCCATTGACAGTCGTACTGATGCCTCCACGAAAATTGGGGAAGTTGATTTTGAGCAAACAACCATGAATTGATCGTTCAATCTTCAACTACATTGACACTCCCCAGCAAAAATGGGATCCATCCGTTTTTTCCTTCACGACCAACACACTTTGACTTGGATGCCATTGCGAGAACCTGGGTCACACGGACACAGCTGAAATGGAAAACAAACAGAAAAGCCAACACACCACAAGCATACCCACAGCACAATCTCACACATCAATGACGACCTGCGCCTTCCAGTCAAAGGCATCCTCTTGCAACACAATCGCCACTTGCTAGAATGACTCTTGCAGAATGCGACATGACCATAGCAGCACCTCATGATACTCTTCGCACATCCTCTTATCTACTCACTACCAATTACCACTGCAGTCGCTTGTCACTCATTCTGACTCACTTCTAGTAACGGTGACGCATGTGAGCCTCAGTCGTTTACACTCTCGCTCCCCGGCGTGTCGAACCGCAGCTAACAATTATCTCCGTGTGCATTTCATCCTCAGCAATAGCCTAGCCTCCCCGGCGTATACGACCCATCTGCTGTCCTTAACATCAATCAATTCATTCACGGATGTAGAAGACTCGAAACAACTTCAGAAGTAATCACGACGAAAATTTTAACAAAATTATGCAATAACAACAAGATACGAAAACAACAAGTAAACACAATGAATCCAAAAAACACCGATTGATAGGACACACCACACATATATACAAACAGTACACACAAACTCGCAGATCGTGTCTCGATGGAATTCCTTTGAAGAATCGCAGGACTTACACTAGTACGCCTGCAACCCTTCCCAGGTTGACGATTGTAAGTTGTGGAATGTCCGGACACAAACAAGATTAACCAACAATTACAATAATTGGAACTCACACAACCATTTAACACAAACATAGGTACAATCAACACATCAAATGTTGTGGATTCTGCCTTGACGAACTACCCTTGAAGAACTGTAGGGCTTACAGCAGCACGCCTACATTCCTTCTCGGGTTGATGATCCAAGTGGAAGTCGTCCGGGCACAAACAGAATTACCAACAGCTAGATGACAGATGATATCAATTCAGTATATACAATATGAACATATGTACAAAATCACACACCAAGCACATTGGACTGCTCATTGATGCGCTACCCTTTGAAGAATTGTAGGACTTACAGCAGTACGCCTACAACCCTTCTCAGGTTGACGCCCTAGTTTGGAAAATCGTCTAGTGGTTCATCCTCCGACTCTCTACTCTCAGCACCTTCCAGTAGACACAGTTTTCTAATATCTCGCACCAACATGCCACAACTTGTTCTCACCTCAACCGTCCTCACCAACATATCACCACTACAGAGTAGCTTTTATACCACTCACAAAGGCCATCTACCTGTGGCACATTTATTTGCTACTAAGACTATATCACTAACCTTTGAGTTTCTGCACAACTTTTTCCACTTGTCTCTGGTTCGCAGTGTTAGAACATACTCCTTTAACCATCATTTCCAAAATATATCTTTTATGTGCCTGGCTTGTTTCCATCTTTTAATCGCAGGTATTCCTTCCCCGCTTGAGTCCTCTACGCTAAGGTCACCTCTCAATAACAATAATTTGTTTGGGGTTAACACATCAAAATCCTTGACGTCGTCCCTCACAGGTGATAACGGCCGGTCATTTAATATTCGTTCAGCTTCACAAAAAAATGTCTCCAGCGTTTCGTCATTCAAACTCTGGTTTTTAATTATGGAGCTTAAAATACGCTTGATAATTCCTATAAGTCTTTCACATAGCCCGCCTCTATCGCTGGCATCCGGTGGGTTGAAGTGCCACTCGGTGTTCCTCATCAATAACTCTTCATGAACTCTCGTTTGGGGACCTTCGAAGTATTCTTTAGGCTCGGCTTTCAGAAATTTGTCTACCTGCAAGACCCCTACCACTGCTGTCTTTTACTATCAGCTCCGCTTTAGCACTAGCATCTGATGATAGGTGGGCTACATGCTGATCAATCACACTGACAGTCTCACAAGTATCCATACCTTCTGCAACTGCATCTGCATTTATTTCTACCTCACGTTCAAGTTGTACAGAACCTTTGTTCAACTTAGCAGTAGTAGGCATTCCCTTCATCTCATCATGATCAACCAAAGACAAATGTGCCCTATCATGATCATTATCACGAATATTCACTTTACCGTCAGTTTCATCATTTTCAAACTCTTTAATAACAGAAGTAGACAAATTTGTTTCCTTAGGTTCTACCTGAGAATGCAAAATGCTGGCGAATTCGCCCATCCCCTGGTTGACACTGTCCTTCACCAGTCTCAAAATATCATCAAACCTTAGCTCGATACCCTCATCCTCTATACGAGAGCTTATCTTCACCCACTTCCTTTGCAGTCGAGTAGGTAGGCGTCTTGCAATTACCTCTAGGACTGAGCGCGAGTTGAGGTCACTCATGCAATTCATCGAAATCAAGGTATTCTTATAGGTCATAAGATTATCCATTAACTCAGTAAGTGCCTTGGAGTCATCTTGTAGTTGACTGCCGTTACCTTATACAGCTTCGTATACGTTCCTCACAATCATCGAAGGTCTTCCAAACCTTTGACGTAATATGCTCATAGCCTCAGCGTATCCCTCATTAGGGGGCATGAGCTTACAGCACTGTATATCTCTTGAAGCATCTCCAGTGCAATACCTCATCAAATACATCAACTTCAATTCATCGCTTAATAAAAAACTACTCAGCATGATCTCAAACTCCTTTACAAATCGTAAATAATCAGCCGAGTTTCCATCGAAACACCGTGGTTCATACTCAGGGTGTTTGATAATCCTTTGATCCCTGAGCGGCGAAACAGTAACATCAGACACATCGTTACAAGTAACAGACAAGTCACCATGACTTACTTTCCTGTTTGCATCCAAGACACTCTGTCCCTTCTTTGACCCAGGCATTGTTGAACTTGACCCAATTCCAAAATAGTCTCAGATATTGCTTGTTCAAAGAGGACT